TAATAAAATAGTATATCTGGTGCCTAGAAGAGCTTTTCTGAAAATATGTATTCTAAAGAAGAACTCTCCCCCCATCGTATATAATCACACATATATATTTCCTCCTCCTCATAATATACAAGAACGTTTTGATATTTTTGTTCAGGCTTTCAGGAAAGGCTTGAAAACGTCATAGCAACATTTATAACAAATAATACTCTCAGTTGTACCAATAGGAAAACTAAAGATCAAATCGTTATTTGGTTATTATTTGGTTATTTGGTTAAAACAAGATTAAACATGTCACCAGTGTGGTTTGCTTCTCAGAGTGGTGCTAACCTCACTAGGCTGCCTTCGTATGCTTAGTGAAGAAGAATCTTGGTTGTAGCTACAAAGTGGAACCCAGTATACCAAACACCACACCTGTTCCCCCTTCTGCTGTTTTTACTCACACTCTAGCTAGGGGAAGACTTTGAAGCCCTGTTGGCTTCAAAACCCTTCTGCCTATACTGGCTGTGCTGTATCATTGCTTGTTGCCCAAAGGCATTCTGAAAAGATAGTTTACTGCTTAAGTGCTTCATGAACTGGTCAAGCAATGAGTTACACTTCTTTTTTTTTAATTCATAAACTTTGTTTTTTAGAACAGTTTTAGGTTTTCAGAAAATGAAGCAGGTAGTACAGAGAGTTCCCATACATCCCCTCCTTCTCTCACTCACAGTTTCCCCTACTATTAACCTATTACATTAATGTGGTACATTTGTTATAATGGATGATATATATTATAAATATATTAATATAAATATATTATCATTAATAAAAGTCTATAGTTTACATTAAGATTCACTCCTTGTGTTGTACAGTTCTATGGGTTTGGACAAATACTGTCATGTATCCACTATTACTATGTCATACAGAGTAGTTTAACTGCCCTAAAAATCTCCTGTGCTTTGCTTAATCATCCCTTTCCCATCTCCCACTCCACCCCCTGGCAATCACTGATCTTTTATTGTATAGCTGTGCCTTTTCCAGAATGTTATATAGTTGAAATGATACAACTATGTAGTCTTTCAGACTGGCTTCTTTCACTTAGCAATGTGCAATTAAGTTTCTTTCGTGTCTTTTTTGGCTTGATAGCACATTTCTTTCTTTCTTTCTTTTTTAAATATACTTTATTTTTTTGGTAGTACAGTTTTAGGTATATAGCAGAAAATACAGAATTCCCATGTGCCACCTGCCCCCACACATGCACAGCCTTCCCTATTATCAGCATCCCACATCTGAATGGCACATTTGTTACAATAAATGAACCTATACTGATACATCATTATCACTCAAAGACTATAACTTACATTAGGATTCACTCTTGGTATTGCATGTTCTATGGGTTTTGACAAATGTATAAGGACATGTATCCATCATTATAGTATCATACGGAAGTTTCACTGTCCTAAAAATCCTCTGTGCTCCACCTATTCATCCTTTCTTCCCCTCAATCCCTGGGAACCACTGATCTTTTTACTGTCTCTATAGTTTTGCCTTTTTCCAGAATGTCATATAATTGGAATTAGACAGTAGGTAGATTTTTTCAGATTGGTTTCTTGCACTCAGTAATACGCATTTTATGGTTCCTCCATGTCTTTTCATGGCTTGATAGCTCATTTCTTTTTAGCAATGAATGATGTTCCATTGTCTGTATATACCACAGTTTATTTATTCATTCACCTGCTGAAGGACATCTTGGCTGCTTTCAAGTTTTGGCAATTATAAATGAAACTGCTATAAACATTTGTGGGCAGGTTTTTGTGTGGATTTAAGTTTTCAGCTCCTTTGGGTAAATACCAAGGAGTGTGATTGCTGGATTGCATAGTAAGAGTATGTTTAGTTTTGTAAGAAACTGCCAGACTGTCTTCCAAAGTGGCGGTACCATTTAGCATCCCCACCAGCAGTGAATGAGAGTTCCTATTGCTCCACATCCTTGCCAATATCTGGTGTTGTCAGTGTCTGGATTTTGGCCATTCTAAGAGACCTGTAGTGAGATCTTTTTTATTGCTGAGTTGTAAGAGTTCTTTCTATATCTAGATATAGTCTTTTATCAGTTATGTATTTTACAAATATTTTCTCCAACTCTGTGGCTTGTCTTATTCTCTAACACTGTCTTTCATGGAGTAAACATTTAATTTTAATGAAGTCCAACTTACCAATTTTTATATCATGCATCATGTTTTTGGTGTTGTATCTAAACAGGTGTTTAAATGTCTGGGAAACAAGCCTTGAAGAGATCACTGAACTCCAGAAAGCAGCTTGGAAAATCCTGGGGAAATGTCATAAGGGGTATTTTTAGCATTCGAAGGGGGCTGCTGGTTCTGTGTCAGCCCAAACCATAAGCACCAAATACCTCCAGACCTTTCCCATCTGTCCATCACTGCCCTTGTACTGACCATGCCATTGCTTACATCTTTCAGCGTGGACTCCACCAGTTTGAACTTTGTGAGAAGAAAAGGTTTAGATTTAGTTTTTGGATACATCATTGCTCCTTAATCCTTGATAATTTATTTATTAAATAAGTGACTTTTCTGAGACTAGCAAAATATTCAAGTCTAACAAAATTATTCAACCAATCCAATCTTTCTAACACAGAAGCAGAAATAAACAACTCTAGTTTACTTTTTAAAGATGATAAGTTATACACACACACACACACACACACACATGCACGCACATGTATACATACATATATATACATATATATATTTAAAAGTTCTTTGACTATAACATAAGAAATTTCAAATCGACAATGACATTTGTAAGAAAGAGTAAAACAAAAACAAGTTTAACTGTTTGTGGACATGTAGGTGATAGCAATTCCCCAGGTACCCTTGTTATACTATAGACTTAGCTCTTTTTTATAAAGCAAGTTTTGTAATTGTCACTTACAGGATTTACCTTCTTGATCTCATACTGCCATGGCTGGCTTGTTTGTAACTATATCGTAGAAGGTCTGACAGCCCATATTATGCTAAAGTTATTTTTTAATCTACCTCATTGTGGGCTCTTTTAAGGCAGGGATCAATGGTTTTTACTACTCAACCCAGACTCTTCTATGTAGCAAGACTCAATAAGTTGTTGAGTTAATGTGTACAATCTGTATTCAATAACTGTTACTGAGTGCTCAACTATAGTTTTGAGGAGCCACATTTATAAAAAGAATATAGAGAAATGAAGAGGGTTCAGGGAAACCATCCAAAATTCCCAAAATGCTGAAGTATAGGACAATGGAGGAAAAAGAGCATATTTATGATTTTGAAGCGTATGAAGAAATCACATTGAGCAGGATTGTTCTTCATCTTCCCAAAGATTAAGAGAAGAGGGAAATGTAGGTACAATTGAAGAAATAAAATAAAGATTTGGGAAGCACATAAGGAAGAATTTTTTTGACTTTAGGATTCTTGGAATCTTAGCAGAGGTAATTAGAATTTGCAGACAAAAGAAACTTTGGTTTTCTCTTAAAGGATGCAAAGCTAGGTTGACTTAGCTAAGCTCTACCAAAGAGAAAACGCTCAAATGCTGAAGATAGTGGCAGCCAGCCACATGGTGGCCAGTTTCCCATCCACTTGCCCTTGGGTCAAATTAATGTGTAACGAGGAAGCCATTGATAGCAAGAGAAACTCAGATCAGTGCCTCTTATTGGTTCAGTGCAAGAGAGTGAGTGGCAGGGGCAATCACAGTGAAAGTGTTAAAATACTACCTAGCCTCTCTGTTGGAAATCAGAGGCAAAGAGAAAATGCCTTTTTTTTTTTTTTATGGAGAGGCAAGGCATCTCTTGCAAATTTGCAACATCTTATAATAACAGCTCATTTATGGAGCCCTTGTTATATGGGAAGGGACTTCCACCCAAAGAGGTAAGGCAGAGTCCTCTTGTGAGCGCCAATTAACAGATAAGGAAGTAGCAGATCTGTGAGGTTACCTCCATGGCTAGCCAAAAGTCTTAGCCAGTGAGTGAGTGAGCCAGACACTGAACCCAGATTTCTATCCAAGTCCACAGCTCTTGCCTCCACTATCCTGCCCAATGATCTTTGGACTTGAGACCTGTCTAAACAAATCCCAGGTCAATCCAATGACACTTGGCTGCCCCAAGAGGCTTTCTGCAATTGCCTTGAATGCCCATTCCAAGATCTGGGCCCACCGAGGCCAGAAGAACCTGTGCAGCTGTTTTCAACCTTGGCTACACATTGCAATCACCTGGGAAGCTTTACAAAAATGTTGCCACTAGGGTCCCACCCCTAAAGATTTTTATTTAATTGGTTTTCAGTGCAATTTCAACACAGATTTGTGTTTAACTTTTTATTGAAGTGTATTATACATGTAGAAGCATGCACGTGCTGTAAGTCTACATTGCAATGAACTTTCACAAACTGAAGGTACTTGTGTAACCACCACTTAGCTCAGGAATCAGAATGTCATGAGCACCCCAGAAGCACCATTATGCTCCCTTCTAGTCTCTGCTCCTCCCCAGCTCACCCCACCGCCCAACCACTATCCTGACTCTTGAGAGCATACATAGTTTGGGCATAGAGATTTTTTAAGCTTCCCAAATGATTCTAATGTGTATCCACCATTGAGAACAATTATCTTACCGACTGAAGGTATGGAAGTAGGATGAACGACAGCAAATGCATAGATATAGGTAAACCAATAAGAATAAACCCAAGCTATATTTATGCCTCATCCCTGGCTGCCGTCTCCCACGTTGCCTATGTATGTCTTATTTCACAATAGCAGTCGACAGGAAGAAAGTTTTTTTTAAAACAACAACAAGATATTTTATTTATAAACAACTTTTCTCAGCATTCACCTTATCAACCTGCCATCCTGAGGGTTGCCAAAATCACATTTGCAGATAATAAATAAACTTATGGAGTGCTTTCTATGTACTGAGTCCCTTACTAAATGCTTTACCCATATCTCATTCAATTCTTACAACACCCAATAATAATAGTATCTCTTATTTCTCCATTTTACAGATGAGGAACCCTACGCATAAAGAGATGAAGTAACTTGCCCGAGGGCACACAGTTTGCAACTGGCAAAGTTAACCTGCAAAGATTCTTCTTGCTGCACCTCCACTATGGTTTTTAAGTATCTATGTCAACGGACCTCTGCTATTAAATACCTGGACAAAGATTAATGCCACACCGATTTCAATGTACAGTAGAATGAGCTGGGAGGGTAATAGAGAAGAATCACAGAATTACCTATGTGTGCTAGAATGGACTTTGGTGATCATGTAGTTTTACTTCCTTCTTTTATAGATGAGGAAACGGGCCAAGAAAAAAATTTAGATGCCTTAACAAGCTGAATGAGAGAAAATTAAAGTCCAAACCCTGGGAGAGGTAAAGCCTTCCTTGGGCAGGATGGGGCCTTGACCTCTAACCCTCAGAGGTACAGGTTTGTGGCTTTATTAGTACAACTTGTGACGAGTGATGCTACTATTATTATTTAACATTCATAGCATACTCGCACGTGCATATTGTTATTTGTATAATTATAAGAGTCTCTACAGTGAACTTTTAATTTAAACAAAGTAGAGAACTGATCGTCATAAAGTCATCTGAACTGGAAACCGGATCCTCTCAGGTTTCCCTGAATTTGTTCGGTTGTTTGGATTTCGTGTCATATGTGATCAGCCTCCTAGCATATTTATTCTGGCAACGGAAGGGGTGGGGTGTGAGAGAGATCTCTTGGAGACGTTTTCATCGAAAACTTGGTGTTACATGTGTAAGTCTTATTTCTCGAGCACTTTCAGAGAGCAAAGCAAATCTCAGAAAATGTGATGCTTATTGCTTTTCCGTTTTTCCGCTCTAAGATGACTTCGGAGTTTTTTGGTATTGTTCGTTTTTTCCCGTTTTTAGATCTCTCCCCGACCTCTCATCACCGCCGGTGTCTATCTATCCTTCCAGTCTTCTACATCCTTTGTTCGGTTCCCTAGTTGTTTGGTATGAAACTCCCTTCAAGCCAGAGTGTTGGGTATGTTGCTCTCTAATTTTTTTTTTTTCCAGAGTAATTTTCCCAATATAAATTATACCCTCAATTACTTTTCTCTCCCTGGAGCAGTGAATCACATTCTAAGAAGCCGTTAGGGCGGAGACAGCTGGATACAGAGCCGGGGGAGGTTGAGCCAGTGCCGGCTTGTCACCCTCGTTCTCTGTTCACCCTGCTGCAGCGGCCGAGTGCAGCCTTGTGCTGAAGTTACCAGCAACGAAGGGTCTTCAGTGCCCATTCCTCTACACCATGTGCTCTGGACACCGATGTGAAGGAGAGACTGTGCTTTAAAGCGCTGGCCTGTGCTTGGAGGCAAGAAGAATCTAAGCTAATCTAAGTTGGCTTGATATTCGAAAACTAGGTAGATTGCATAAGTGCCCCCAGTCTTCATCTCTCCCTGTATTACTTCGTTCTGCCATGTGACTTTACAGTTTTCTGATCAACAGATAAACCACTGATTGTGACCACGTCGCCTACTTTGGCCAACAAAGTTAGCAGAGGTGATACAAGCGGAGGCTTGGAAGCGTGCTTGCATCACTGGACTCGTTCTCTTGCATCTTTACTATTTCTACAAGAAGAGCACGCCTGGGCTGGCCCACTTGTTCCAGGATGGGAATGAGAAATATGTGGGGCAGAGCTGCCCCAAGGAAGCTGCCCCAGACCAGACCAGCCCAGCCCAGCCTAGAACAGAACCGTCCAGCTGACCCAGAGATGCATGAACACACCTAGCCAAGAGCGGCAGGTCTGCTAGCCAACCTTCACATGAGCTGCAGGTGCAGTGTCTGGAGTGGGAAGTGATTGTTGTTTTATGCCTCTGAATTTTGAGGTGGTTTGCTCCCTAGCAATTGCAATGAGGTCATGCCCTCTGAAACTATTATGATGCTTAGATGAACAACTACAAACAAAAGCACTTTGCCAATGTAAAACTGTGGGGAGTAAGCATAAGGGATTGGACCATTGAACAAGCTCTGAACCTGGAACCTAAAGACCTGAGTTCAAGTCCCCAATCACCCTATAAACTTGTGCAGGTGATTTAAATTTTCTGGGTCTTATAAAATTACAGAGCTGGCTTGCTGACTCAAAACCATGAGGGCTTGAGAGGATGTTAGAAAATTAATATGGGTCTTAGGACTTCATTGGTAGAGAGTTAAGAAAAGAGATGGGGATGGCAGGAGAGAGGTCAGAGGATATTTTATCTGAGTATAAATAAAATGGGATACCCATAAAAGAGGTACGTGGAGTGAGAAATTGGGTGATTTTGAAGAATGTGTTTGATCTAAGGCTGAGAGGTAGACTTGGAGGCCACATATAAAATAAAGTCTCCTTTCTTTAGAGACCTGAAAGTATGGGATATGTGAATAAGGGAGGAGAAAAGCCTTGAAAACGGCTTATAGAAGGCACCTTTCTGACATCTCTTCGCTTGGAATAAAGCAAAGTTGGGGACAATTATAAAGTCTCTGGTCAGATGAAGAGCTAGTAGTTCAAACTGGCAGTTCGATATATTTGTAAGAACTCTCCCTTAGCAATCTTTAACTTTTCTTGGTTGTGTATTACTTGACTTTAGATAAGTCATCTATCGTATGGACAAGTAGATGAAATATGTTTCATTCATTCATTATGTCTTGAACAGGCTACATTCCTGGAACTGCTCTAGACACTGGGGATGAAACAGTAATCAGACATGGTTTCTGAGCTGGCTACCTACTCAGGCAGGGGGATTTTTCATACATTGTCATTCATGTCAAAATATATACTACTAGATCCTTTTTCAGAGGCAAAGATTATAGCTCAGGGAGGTTAAGTGGCTTGTCCAAAGTCACACAGCTTGTAAGAGAAAGTTAAAAAATAATGCCTTTTGGTGCTAGAGTCTGTCTTGTTTCTACTGAACTATGCTGTATCCTCTTGTTCATCGTTTGATTTTATTTACAAAAATGTCATTTTTGTATTGTTTTTAGGAGTACAGTAGAGTTAGGTGCTTAACTTTTTGTTGTTGTTCCATAGAGAAGTATGTGATTTATAAGTCAAAGGATCAAGTTCTCAGTTTCTAGGACTTTGGAAGTAGGTTTCTCTATTGAATAAGGACAAAGCTTATATGTACAAAAATAAGGTAATGTGTTAATCAAGTATGGTCTTCTCAATGGAATACTTTGAAAACATTAAATATAATCGCTATTAGACTTTATAGGTGAGAGTGAAGTTGTCATAGCTCCTCGAGGATGGCAATCTGAAAATATAATTCAAAACTACAAATGAACATGCCTTTTGTTCTAACAATTTTAGCTTAAGGGACTTATCCTACGGAAATATTCTAAATATTCTACAATTGTACAAAATTATTCAGAGCAGCATTCCCCCCGCTCCCAGCAATTTATTAGTAATAACCTAACTGGCCGTCAATAAGGAACAGCTAAATAAGTTATGATACTTCCTTAGGATGGAATAGCATGCAGCCGTGAAGAAGGAAGGGGAGACAAAGGAAGAGGAACAGGAGGAGATTCCTTATGTGTTCACCAGGATGTCTTTTTAAGAGACGATGGTATGATAATGCCCATGGGAGAAGGACAGAGGGAGTCTCTGGGACTCCAGAAAAAAGTCACCATACTTCTTGGGTCAGAAGTAGGGAGCTTCCTCTTAATCTGTGCCGACATTTGTTGACTATGCATTATATGGAAGGTGCTCAGGTACATTTTATAGAATGTATAAAATGAGGAGTTTCCTCTCGCCTACTACAATCTAGTTGAGGTTGTACCTGATCGTTACATATAAAGATAACAATCAAACCCATCGCATTATCAGGGAGTGAATGTGGAATCAACCTTATGTTGGGATGAGGGAAAAGTTTGAGCTTGAGGGGATCAGAAGTCTTCAGAAGAATTTCACTTGGGTTAGGGAAGGATTTGGGTAGAATGAAGGGCTTGTGGGAGCCAGGCAGAACCTGCCAGGCAGGACACTCTCTCGGCAGAGCCAGAATCTAGAATGAGCAAGGTGAATTGTGGGCAAAGAGAACTACTTTGTCTGGAGACGGGGAGACGAGCTTAGAGAGCAGCTCAGTGATAAGAGCAGAGTGGTAGGTTGGGGCAATGCCGAGGAGGACCTGGGACGCCAAGATAAAGATCTGGAATTTTGTTCAGGTATTTGAACCAGGGGCAACATGCACAAAACAGTCATTAGGGGAATGTAATCTGGCCACCCCATGCCAAGTGGTTAGTAGCAGAGGAGGTCTGAAGTTAGGAGACTCTTGGAGACCTGAACAGGAGTCTGGGAGCAAGGTGAAGAGGCCCGAGCTAGGTCGGTAGCTGAAAAAGTAGAAGAGAGGCAGACACGAAGGTGTTATTCTTTGACTTTTTGACATTTTGACATTTCCCTGACAAGTCATAATTACTGTAATAGTTATTGTCTTGGGTTTTACAGGTGTATAACACTATTGATTGTGCAAGTACACGAGGGTCAAAGGAACCTTTGTTTGGTTGTGGCTGTGGTTGTTTGTCTGCAGACTGTTACAGATTGAAAACTGGTATAAAACTTGTCTTCCCAGAGCTGCACCTAACATGCTGCTGTGTCCACGGAGAAATCATAAATGTAAACCCACTTCCAGAAAGCAAAGACTAAAGGTAAAAGTGGCTCTTAAAAGTTATTCTTCTAGCATCGATCAGAACTTTAATTGTTGCTTTCATTTAAAAAGGGGGTTACCAAAATAATAAATACGGGTTGTTTTAAACCTGTTATAAAAGTAAGTAGATTATGAGTGCCACCATATAGAGAGATCTATGCTCTATTAAGTGATAAGAGCAAGTCTCCTAACACTATCATCATGTACCGTTTCTGCTAAAAGCGTTACATATGTTTTAGGTACGAAGTCTGAGAGGCCACCCTCCAGCTGGGGCACAGGGATGTGGGGAAGGAGGGTGCAAATGGGAAAGTTACTTTTTGCTTCTGAATTTTTATAATATTTTATGAGCTAGTTAATGCTTATCAAGAAGAAATTCGTAAAAGCATTTAATATATTCCAGAGAAGGATTGTCCCCACAGAACTTTCCTCAGCTCAAGCTTTTTATGGGAAAATAGACAAAAATGCTAGTTAGGGAAATAGAAGGAAATAGAGGCAGGGAGAGTGGTAGGAAAAGTCTTCCTTGATTCAACAGGCTTCTCCAGGCTGTAGAACCTAGTGTGGCTAAGAGCTGAGACTTGTCTCATTGGGCAGGATACTCATGTCTCTAGGCTTCAGTTTCCTAAAGTGTAACATGAAGATATTGTGATAAAATGAAATAAGGTCTATAAATCATGACTTTGCACACGGTGACCAACACTTAGTAGGCCTTCAGTAATTACTGGCTATGATTATTATTGTCTATCTGACATTCTAAACTTCTAACAATTTACCTTGTACTTTTCCTTGGTCCTCTAATTATTTACTTGCTTGATCCCCTATTACAATGTGCACCCCTTAAGGCAGGATTATAAGTTCGTTCAATGGCTGACAAAAACAATACATTCTTATCCCCACGAAAAAGAAAAAAAAATCTGCCTTCATCTCGACCCCTCAAGATAACCATTGTCGATGGTGGTTTCTATAGATCCCTCTAGAACAGGAGTTGGGGCTACATGAAGGCAGGGCATTTACTATCCTGCCCTTTATAAAAACAAGCTTTAGCCCATTTCGGCTGGCTCCTGTTCTAGAACAGCACATGCTGTTTAATAGAAATATATGTGAACCACATGTGTAACTTTGTATTTTCTCATAGCCATACTAAAAAAAAAAAAGTTTTATAAAAGGGAAATCAATTTCAATAATGTTTTCTTTAACCTGATATATCCAAAATGTCATTTTGGATGACATATGTAATCAAAATATATAATTACTGAAATATTTTACATTCTCATTTTCATGCTAAGTCTTCAAAATTTGCCATGAATTTCATGCTTACAGTACATCTCAGTTTGGACTAGCCACATTTCAAGTGTTCAGTAGTGGCTGGTGGCTACCATGTCAAACAGCTTAGCTGTAGAATCTAGATAGTCTTTGTATGCATATAGTTACATAAATTTTTTAAAACAAAAGTAGTACAGTACACATGCTTTTTTCACTAAATAATCTTTCTTGGAGATATTTCCCTATCCTCCCATAAAGATCAGCCCTTTTCTGGACAGCGATAGTATTCTATCTATTGTTTAGATGTATTATTATCTATTTTATTAGTTTCCTATTGGTGGGCATTTGTATTGTTCCTAATTTTGAATTGTTATTTAAAATAGTTAAGGGATTGTCCTTTTACATATAAGTCTTTGCACCTGTGGGAGTATATATTTAGAATAAATTCTTGGGAGTTGAATTGCTGAGTCAAAGGCTGTGAAGACATTTAACTTTTTAATAACGATTGTCAAGCTGGAGAGCTGCAATTCTATCTTGTTTTTCTTTGTATCTCTAGCATGTTTGCTTTCAATGGATAATTGTTAAATGAATAGATAGATAAAAATCTCTCACCATTGAGAGAGAGAGGGAGAGGGAGAAATAATATGGAATTAAGTAGGAACAGTTAACCGCGTACTGAGATACAAGTTGAAACACCGTGGGTTGGTAAAGCGAAAGGTGTTTGTTTAATGTTCAGTTAAACGACTCTGAGCTCAGCCCACTTTCAATTCCTTTCCCTCTCAGAAAGTCTCTGGGCCTTGGGTCTCAGGTTGCGGCATTTTGTGTTAAACTGGGATATTTTCTCTGCCTTTGAAGGCCAGCTGAGCCCAAGTCTTCCCTGTGGTGGTCAGGACAGTTTCCAGTTAAGAGTGGGGGGTGATGGTGGGGTGGTTAAAGGTGCTGCTTCCTCCCATGGGAACCCCTGCTCTTCAGGGGTCAGACAGGCTCCGAGATTCTGGAGTGCCCTCCGTGCGGTGTCTCTGACACCAAACCTGCTGCCCTTTTGGAATGAGAGGATACGTCCTCCTTCAGTCACACGGCCTGTCACCATCACGCCAAAGGGGCCGTTCTCCAATGGCCAAGTACACAGATAGAAAATCTGACTATAAGAACCTGACTTGATCTCCAGATCGGCCCTGTCCCTCCTCCTGCTGAGAATTCTCCTCTGGCCTGTCTCGCAAACTGGCAGCCGCGGCCACACTCGCAGCCCTGCTTTCCCCTTGCAGGCCACAGCCTGAGCCTCTCAGCTGGCTCCCACCCACCAGCCGCCCTCACTCGCTCTTCCCCATCTCTTCCAAACCTGCCAACCTCCACCACTGACTTGATCCTCAAGCCTGCTCTTCCTCTAGCCCCCTGCCCCTGGCAGGGCCTGGCTTTTTCTTTCCCTGGGGTGCTTGGGCAGAGTGCTTGGCACATAGTCGACACTTAATAGATGTTAGTTGAGTCAAAGGACAAAATAATCACCAGGCTTTTTAGTTTGCCATCCAAACTTCCATATTGAATAACTCCCTGGACAAGTATTGATCAAGTGCCAACTACATGCCAGGCACCGTGTCAGGTCAACAGGATAGACAGAGTTCCTACGTTCATGGAGCTCGTGATCCCAGATCCTTTTCTGATCATATCTAATTCGTCCTGGCTCCCCAAACACTCGTGGATCATTCTGTACTTTTATTCACTCATATATTTATTTGAGTACCTATCATGTGCCAGCATTATGCTATACATATAGTCTCTAATTTAGTCCTCACAAGAGGACTAAAGGAAGATGTTCCTAGTTCCATGTTACACATTGGGAAAGTAGGATTAAGTAACTCGCTCAAAGCCACACGTGCGCAGGAGTGACTGGGGCCAGGATTCTCGCATCGGCAGGCCTCGCTCAGTGTCTACACCCTCGCATCACGTCCTGACAAGGAAACATTTGACCCTTCAGGAATGAGGGAAGACATTCTAGACCAGGTAAACACCTAGAGCCCAGTGCGAAGTGTGTGTGTGTGTGTGTGTGTGTGTGTGTGTGTGGAATAGCTTAAACTCCAGCATTCTACTATTAAAGGACACAGGGGGACAATTCTGGAGAAAGTTAACTCAAAGGAGAGAGTTAACCTGGCAGACACGTGCCTGCCCGCAAGTGTGCCCGGTACCCAGTAGGCACTCAATAATCATTACCGCTTTGTTAATCTGGCAAGGCTGTTCCATTTGGCTGGGGAACTAAGAAGTAGGATAGTGAGAGAGAAGATTGGAAAAGACTGGAAGCAGCTGATTGCAGAGTTTCTTGAACTGCTTTTCTCTATTATCCCTAAACCTTAGTCTTCAGTACCTCTTACTGTAACTTCTGTTTTAGCCATTTTACATGGGTTTCTGAATGGAAGCTCCCTGAAGTCCCTGGGTGTGAAGTGACTCATCCAGGCCACTGTGGCTCATGATGAGCTAGGACTCGAACCTAAAGAACCTGGGCTTACGTTCCCGGTTACACTGATGTTTACGTTTTGAAATAAAAGTCAGTGGTGCTGTTGCTCCGCGGGTGCTGTAACTTGCGGGGACTCTGCAGCCTTCAAAAAGGAGCAGCAACGGCTTTACAATTCAGGCCTTTGCTTTATATTCAAGCCCAGAGTCTGCACTTCCCTCCCGCTCCTACGCTTCTCCCAGCTGCCAAACAATCTCCCTCCCAAGGCCGCGCCTTCGGGAGCAAGGAAAGAAAAACAGGAGTAAGTCATTTCGATAAAATAAGAGCTAATAGATCCAGGCAAAATTATTGTAATCAGAACCACAGACACTCTGCTGGCCAGGAGGGGAAAATTCCGTAAAATAATAACGCTCACATTCTCCTTTTTCTCCCCACTTTGAGTGGTGTACTTTTCTGCCCTGACGATATTTAAAATCTTGCCAGAGGCAGGAACACAGAGGGAAAATATTCCTGCCTATAAACAAGGGGAAAGTTTCATGGAAGGGACGTAGAATTTTGAGACTTATATTGGAATTGGCAGCAGGAAAATCTAACGCTCTGGAAATAATGATTCCAGCATTAGGTCACTTGGGCAATGCGGCCATCCTGCGTGGCTTTAAAAATGTTGCCTCAGCGTCTTTCCTCCTCAACTTGAAGCCACAAGAAGGATGGTTCATTCATTTATTCAATACTCAAAGGGTTCTTACTATTTACAGGGAATTTGAAGAGATGTAAACTGAAAACACAGCTCTCCGGACCCCTGGGAGGTCGCTGTGCAGTAGGGACAACAATGCACACGCAGGAGCCACCGTGGGGCTACACAGGTGGCGACTGGTGACTCCCAGGGGCCCTCTCATGGCCTCTGCTGTGCTGCTGTCTGCTGGAGTCTAGGGAAGAAGTCTTGCTGGCAAAGCTCCCCTCTACAAGTGCCGAAAGTCATCCCGTGCCTTCCAGATCTTTCACGTGGCAAGGTACTCCCACTAGCACCCTAGTCCACCCCGCCAGAGAATTTAGATATTACCAGCACGTTAAGTCTGGGCCTGGATCCTCTGCCCTGTGGGACTGTGAAGGAAGGAAGAACAGGTGTAGAAGACAAGAAATTGACCCTGGTAAACTGCGAGCTGGAGACTACACAGGGCAAACTTTCTGGGTCTAGATTAGTCACTTATTCATTATTCCCTAGCCACATCCAGAAAGCCATCTTTTCCTTGCTTATGCTCAATGATGGGGATACTGAGCGTGTTTTCTTGCCTCAAAGTCAAGATGAGAGATCTGATAATGACCCACCCACATTCTTGGTGTGTCCACCTGCAAACATCTGCCCCTACCTTCCACCTCCCTACCATTATAGGCATACCTCGGACACAGTGCCGGCGTGGTTCCAAACCACAATAAAGCAAATATCGCAACAGAGCCACACATCTTTTGGTTTCCTGATGTATAAAAAAGTTATGGTTACATTATACTGTAGCATATTAAGTGTACAATAGCATTATATCTAAACAAACAATGTTTAGATATAAAACTAACTTAATTAAGAAGATTTGATTGCTAAAAAATGATAACCATCATCCGAGTCTGTTGGAAAAATGGCGTGGATAGACATGCTCTACACAGCGTTCCCATAAACCTTCAAACTATAAAAAAACAGTATCTGCAAGGCGCAGTAAAGCAAGGTATGCTAATATTGCTCCTCTTTTCCAGATGAGGAATCTGGACCCTGAGGGGTTGATTTACCCAAAGACAGAGAGCCAGTTTGCGGAGAAGCCTGGGCTGGCTGGGGTCACCCAAATTATGGTCCCTGCCATCTTCTGCTCTAAAATGCTGCCTCCTCCTTGATCCAGCTTTAATTTTTTCCCTCCTAGTTCTCTTTGCCTCAATTTCATCCTGGCAGTGGATCATGAAGCCCTCAGTAAGAATGTAGAAAACAGTTAACTTTAATCCTTCAATTCCACTTCTAGATATTTATCTGAGAGAAAACATATGTCTTCAGAAAAGGCTTGGACATGATTTTTTTTTTCCATCTTTATTCATAATATTTGAAAACGAATAACAGCCCAGGCGTCTATTGACAGATGACTACACAAACTGGTAAGTCCGTGCAACGGAATATTCCTCATCGATAAAAAGGAACAAATTACTGATAAAGGTGACAACATGGATGAATCTCACTGATGTTATGCTGAATGAAAGAAGCCAGACACAAGTGTGCGTACTGTATGGTTTCGCTTATACGAAGTTCTAGAACAGGCAAAACTAGAAATCAGATTAGTGTTTGCTTGCAGGGGCTGCAAGGATGAGGGGTGGAAAGGTTACAGGGGAGGAGAGAATTAAGTGGGATGGGGCATGAGGGAACATTTTGGGGTGATGAAAATGTTCCCTATCTTGATAGGGGTGGGGATTACAGGGTATACGCATTTGTTAGAACTGATCAATCTGTATACTTAACATCTGTCCTCTTCGGTATTAGAAGTTATATCTACATTTTAAAAATAGAAAAAAAAAAGGGTAGTATACGACCACTGCAAAACTTTATACAGAAGTAATGAAGTGAGGAAAAAATTACTTTCCCGCATTCAAATTTCACATCTCTGTGCTAACTGCTATTTATTTCATGCAATAACCTTCCAGAGACTCTTTCTGGGCATATACTTTCACATAAATGGGCTCACGCTGTCCACGCTGTCCACTGGGCTGGAACCTGCCCCATGATGACACATAGAGCTAAGAGAAGGCTTTCCATGAGATAAGCAACCTGATTGAAATGGCCATTTCCGAGTGTCAACCATTTCCTATTTTCGTGTTGAATATTGTTTTTCCACGTTAGACTGCTCAGAAAGATTTTGTGGATGCTACTAAGAGGTAAAAGAATGTTCTGGTGACATACTTTCTAAATGGTTTTTCTTTTAAGGGAGCCATACCCTCTACCCACCTCATCC